CCAACCTGTCCTGTCAATCATTGGTTATATACTGTTTGTTTGTTTCTGAAAAAGCTAAATAAAATATCCCCAAGAAAGCAACACAATGCAAATTTACAAAAAACAGCTTATGAAGTGCTGGATGATAACATACAAAAAAAAAGAACCTTAAAATAAAGTCCAAATCTACTGCTTCTAACACCTTTATTTCTGAAAAGGCTGTGTTTCCAGACAGTATTTCCGGTAAGAATGTAGGTCTACTGGATGGGATTTGTAACGTTTTGAGAATGCAAAGCTTTAGTTTGGGATTTAGACTGATCGGCGCTGGCACTCGGGCCGAGCGAACTGAATTAGCGGCATGGCAGCTGCTTCAAGCTGTTTTTTTCTTTTATCCAAAAGCAAACATTTATCTTCATAATCTGGGCTGGCACTGAGCGAAGTGACAACATGGATCTCTCTGCAGACGATGTGTGTAATTGTGTGTTAGTGTTTATGTGAGTGACTGTGTGTGGAAAAGCAGTGGTGTCATGATGTTGGTAGTCTAGGCCAAATCTCCTCTCTGACCTATATACAGTACTGTAGCGGTATAAATTCCCTGCAAAATACTGCCGGCGAGGTGGAGGAGAGAAAGAAAGCGGGTCGGGGGAGGGCAAAAAATGAGGGGGATAAGCAGAATGGGATGAGGAAGACTAAACAGAGATAAGAGAAAGAGACAGAGGGGCAAAAACAGGCTGCATGAAAACAATGAGCAGCTGTAAAAAAGAGAAAACACGAGTGTGACACACCAGTGTGTCAGGAGTCATTATTCTGATGACAGAGGGGCCCAGTCAGCATTTAACCCACAACGCTAAATCACAACAGTAGATGAGATTAGCGCCGAGGCTGAACGTCCACTGGTACAGGCTGGTCTTTGCATTTTGGAAAAACACAAAGTGATAGAACAGGGTCGTGCAACATTTTTTTGGTTGCCAACTGCTTATGAAGCACAGGGATTTGGGGGCATTTATAATTGAAGTGTTGATATTATTTAAAGTAATTTCCTCTAGAACATTTAAAACATCTATTTATTTGTTCTTTCAGCACTGAAGCACAATAATAGACTCGCAAAATTGTGTAGAAACACAACATCCACTGGGCATGGTGGCTGTCACCCTCACATCTGTCCTATTCATTCTTGTACAGTATCTGATTCATTCGTCTGACTTTGCACCTAACTGTAAAAACAAACAAGACACAATCTCATAGAATATTTATAGCCCTTAAGTTAATATCATATATCACAACACAGCTTAATTGAATCATAATGGCTTCAGAGCAGCAGCTTTAAATGCACTCTAGCAACCACAGCCATTACATTTAACAGCGTGTGTAGCTACAGAGAGGCCTAATGAATTGCCTCTTCATTGTTATGTAGACTGGGTGTAACCGGGGAGCACTACTTACATTGAACAGCATAGGACGCCAGCAGTGCGGCTGTGTTGTGTGGACAGGGCAATCTGGAAGCCGCAGGAACACAACACGCGGGCGCGGGCGCGTGCGGAAACACACACACACACACACACACACACACACACACACACACACACACACACACACACACACAAATAGAGATTACTCAGCCTTGGATCAATACAACTATACAGTTTCTTTTCAAAAAGCACAAACTAAACATCTTAGATAGGAATGGTGATAAAAAAGGTGGGAAAAACATCACCATCAATAAGAGTTTTATCAATTATCTGAAGAACTGAGAGGGAAAAAGAGTAGTGTGTATTTCCATTGACAAAAATAATAATGAGAATGTTGTGTGTTTTTACAACTGCCCAATGCGCCTGCTTAGAATTGTTTGTTTATATATACGCTCCTCAATTGAAACCAATGCTTATGCAATAATCACCTTTGACGGCACATGGCAACATCTAACATACAGAGGTTTCACATACTCACCTTCCAGTTAATATATCCTGCTTGATCTGAAGAAAATATTGATATCTGAGGGGGGAAACAACAAGAGACCAGTTAAACATCATCTCTGTTTAAATGAAATATAACATCATTGTTTTTCTTTAATTATCATTAATTTGGCAGCTCTCCAAATTTGAATTTGTCCCACCAGTTTCATAATGAACCACATTTTTCACTCATACTAACATAGGAAATGTGTAACTTGACTAAAGTGTTTTGCGTCTCATTAAGATCCAAGGCCCAGTATTCACTGTTACTAGCTGTATGCAAAGTGTTGATAAGGCTCGAGGAGCGAGATTGCGGCTGAGAGGCTGTAATAAACACCAGGCAGAAGGGACGATATGGTGCCATGACACCTCCTCTGCATGTTGTTTATGTAGGACATAGTGTTGCAGACCTTATGTTTGCTGAACACTGGGTTGGACTAAAGCCTTGATATAAAAAATAGCAGCTTATTATTTTTCTTTAATGAGCCTGTGGGGAAATGAAGCAGCATCTTAGAAACAATTGTTTACTTGTGATTTACCATCTAAAGAAAGGAAATACAGTAACTCTTCATATAGTAAGCAATATTTCCTTTCTTTTTCCCCTCCTCTAAAATTAACACTCTTACCGTGTGTATTCTTCCTGAAGTTTACCCGGGTCTGTCACAAAGAATTTGACTCTGAAGCTCAAGTTATGGGGAGAGCCTCCTGAAGAAAAATGATAAAAAGTTAGTGGAATGAAACATGAACAGAAACTGTATATGTACTGTAAGCTGTATAAGCTATATGTAAGCTTATATACTGTACAAGCCGACTGGATTTCGTCTTAGAGTCAAATGCAACTGTTGTGATTACTGTATATGTACATGTTATCTTTCATTTTCCACACATATTGAGACATGCTTCTGGCAAAATGCCTGTAGCTTAAATGTGTATTTTCTTATAAGTCTACGTTTATACAAACACATCGGCCTATTCTCACAAGGTATATAATACAAAATCATTACTCCTCTGCAGAAAAACAGAGTTGAAGCTCAGTTCACACATTGCTGGAGGATGACTGCAGATCTTACTAGGGCTACTTCTTAATTCTACATGTTACAAATTCTATTACTCATAAAAAATAAGACTTGAGTTGAAATGAAGTTTAATCACTGCTTAAGGCATATTCAGAATTTTCTATCACGCTCCATGTGCACTGGACAATTTTGCTTTAGGTAGGAGGAGTATGTTTTTAAACATTGCTGAGGCTAACCTCTTGGCAGTTAAACCAGATTTATGTGGGCCCAACGGGGGCGCACGTCCCCATCCCAGGAGGGTTGGAGAAAAGGGGGTGTAGGCCCAGCAGGCCTGAACATGCACATATTGCACTGAGTATCCCAAAGTTTGCATAGGTGGATAAAGTGCTGAGCTGCTACTGCCCCAGCTGCAGAAGCACTCACATTCCCAGTTACCCGGAGGGAGTGTACGTATGTGAGAACACAAATGTCTCCATACTGCTCCTCCAAGCCTCCTTAAGCCCCGACATTCAAATTGGAATTAAAACGGCATCATTTACTCCATGTTTTTAGTCCTCTGATATCCTCCTCTGGATCCCAATCATCCATGGATCACAGCAGACATTAAGGGCAAAAAAACATGGGCGTATGTACACTTTGATGACACCACAGGAGCAGCATGGAGGCATGTTGGTTTTTTTTTCAGTCACCATTTACTCAATTTGGCTGGAACACTGTTTACCCCAGAAACTCCAAAAGCGTTTTGTGGACTCAATCCCCCACCCCTCCGTCTGCATAGTGGTGAATAGACAATGAGGGAATTTTCATTTTTGGGTGAACTATCCCTTTAAGATTTTGTGATGTTTGCTTCATGTGGACTTAGCTGGTTCGTTAAAGTGGAGTGTTGTGGATTTCACCTACTTTTTAACTGTTTCCTGATGGGCTTGTTGGGATCGAGCCAGCGCTGTAAAATATTGATCGTGAGACACTTAGAGACACAGTAACGCTTCCACAGCATGACTACACAAGCTAAATTATTCACCAGTAGACTCTCTCTCACACACACACACACACACACACACA